AATGTATCAGTTATAAACACTGATAATAAAAAGCCTAGAAGAAAAATGGAAAAGTAAGAAAAAAACGGGGAAACCACAGAAAATATATGGGTAAACATGATGCGATTCTATTTAACACTCACTAAATTGGCACAACTTGAAAAGCGCTGGCCAGCTTTTTGTATACTGTTGGTGGAAATATAAATTGGCACAACCATTTTGTATGCTCATTTGGCATTTTCTAGTAGTAAAATTGAAGGTACACATACTAAATCCCTCACTGTTTCATTTTTAGTGTGTATGCTAGAGATATCCATGAATATTCATAACTCTATTATTTTTAAAATCAACTTTATGGAGTATTATTAGCATATAATAAAGTCCTTCCATTTTAAGCATATAGTTTGATGAGTTTTGACAAATGTATACACCAGTGTGACTATGAAACTTTCTATCATTCCTAAAAGTTTCCTCTTATACCATTACAGAAGAGCCTTGCACCCATTTTCAAAACAGTGCAATTTTTGTAAATTTTATATAAATAGAGTCATACATAGAAACTTGTGTCTGGCTTCTTTCCCTTGAAGTAATGCCTTTGAGATTCATCTATTTTGTTCTTTACAATTTCTTTCTTTTTGTTGTTGAGTGATATTTCTCTCTCTCTCTCTCTCTCTATATATATATATGTGTGTGTGTGTGTGTGTGTATGTGTGTGTGTGTGTGTGTCAGAAGTTGTTTATAGTTACTAGTTTTTGCAAATTTAGATTGTTTCCAGTTCTTGGGTTATTATAAATAAAAAATACTGCCATAAAAATCCATGTACAGCACAGGTAAAATGCAAATATATATATATATTTCCAATATTAAACCCAGGGTCTATGGGTTTATGAAATATGTGTATATATATATGGAATTTGTGGGCCATATGGTAAGTATATATTTAACTTATAAGAGAATGAAAATCTGTTTTCCGAAGTACTTGTACTATTTTACATTCCCAGCAGCAGTGTATGAGAGTTACAGTTCATAGCATCATTATTCATAACAGCTAAAAATGGAAACAACCCAAATGTTCACTGACAGATAAATGAATAAACTGTGGTATATTCATTCATAAGAATATCATAAATAATTAACCATAGCTATAATCATCAATATGACTAAAACATATTAAACAAAAATCAAGTCACAGAATGTATACATTATATCCCATGTATATGTATATATTTTAAAAATATGCTATGATTTGAGGGGAGAGATAGGGTATTTCAGAGATGTTGGTAATGTCCTGTTTTTCTACACAAATATGTGTGATATACTTCTATAGTAAAAGAAAAAAATAAAAAGAACCAGACATGGTGGTGCACACCTACAATCCCAAGACTCTCAGAGGAAGATTGCAAGTTTGAGAATAGCCTGACTTAGTGAGACCCTATCTCAAAATAAAAATAAATAAAAAGGGCTGGGGATGTAGTTCAGTGTAAAGACCCTGGGCTTAATGTTGGGCATTTGTCCTATATTGTCACGTATTTTTCTACTTCTATTTAGTATTCTGTATATTTTTTTGAGAAGTTTAAGTTTTAGTCCTGATAATTCTCTGAAAGAATTTATATATCTCAACCCCAGTGACATTAATGGCAGTAGTTAAATTCATGAATCCCTATTTATGGAAATGAGACTATATAGCCCACCTGACAACAAAAATAATTGGGTAAAATTATTTATTCCTTAAGTGGAGGATTTTACCAGGGAATGGTGTGTCCTCTATTTCTATTTATTTAAAACTGAGGTTTAAAACCATCATAAAATGACCGACAGACAAATATAAAGTCCATATCATCAATCTAGAAAGCCCCGTTAGTCACTTACTAGATAAGAAGACTGCAATATTGACAACAGGATTTTCTCTATCTCCCTTCTAGGTCATATCATAGCAATATAAATTCACAAAGTTGAAAATTTCATAAGGTAAAAACTGCCAGTGAGGGAGAGTCAAGAAATAAACTTTTCATGTGTTTTAGCAATATTGAAAAAGCTATAAACTTGAGAGTTACATCAGATGGTACATTTTCATCTCCCTTCTTTAACATTATTATGCAGGAAATATTTTTATACAGCTATAATTTGATTATAACTGTGATTATAAATATATTAGATGCCATAAAATTGCATATTTGAGTAAATTTTCACTCCCAAGAAAATCTTTATACAACTGTAGTATGAAATTTTTTAATAGCCAGAAAGTAAATTATTACAGAAAGTGAATTATTACAGAAGCAATTTCAAATACACAGGGTTAGGAAGATGAAACTTTAGTCTATTAAATAATAATAAAATAATGGTAATTTAATACTGATACAATTACTATTAAAATACAAACTCCCCAAAATTAAAAAAGTTGCTTTAATATCAGTCCCTGGGCTTAACTTTAAGTTGGGACCAAGATGTTTGATTAGAAGTCATCATTTTAAACAATAAAGTAATTCTTTGATTATGATCCATATTATTTAGAAACCTTGAAACTATATTTTGTTCCCTATAGTTATGTAAGAGATACTAAAGAAGTCACATAAAAGTTGAATTGGTTACTACAGTTATTTTCTCATGCTCAAAAGTGGCTGTCAGAGTTAGAATTTCTGAAAAATAAGTTACCTGTTCCACAGATGTTCATTACTGCTAAGTAAGTATGCTCAGTTTTATGTAGTGAATTTCAATTATTTGTATGAATAAAATCAAAGATTATCCTACTCTAGCTGAAGGATGAATGTACCTGGTACTGCTTATAACTCAGTGCTTTTAGCAGGATCCAGCGTCATTAACTCTATTTCATTGGTGGGAAAACTAGACTCAGGGACATTAAGCAAATTGTCCCGTGTCTCGGCTAACTGCAGACACAGCAAGAGTCCCTGTTTCTGAACTCAGTGTATTTCTATTATGTCATCATTTCTGTATCTGATGTTTGTCTCTGGGTAAAAATGAAAATTAAGATGTCACTGTGCTAGTTAGCTTTCCATTACTATAATAAATACCTGAGGTAAATCAACTCATGAAGAGAAGGTTGTCAGGTGTGGTGGTGCACACCTGTAGTCCCAGGTACACAAGGATGGGGTGGGAGGATTGTTTGAGTGCATGAGTTCAAGACCAGCCTGAGTAGCAAAGGGAGATCTCTCCATCACAAATAAGTAAATTAATTAATTGAAAAATTTTACAGAGAAAAGATTAATTTTGGCTCACATTTTTAGTGGTTTCACCTATAGTCATTGGCCCCACTGCTTTGGGTCTGTGGTGAAGCAGTACAGCCTGATGGGAGCCTGTGGCCAAGCAGAACTGCTTTCTTCATGGCAGGGAGCAAGAAAGGGAGGAAGAGGAGGTGGGAGTCCCACTGTCCCCTGAAAGGGCACACCCCCACTGACTGAGACCTCCCAGGAGACCCAACATCTTGAAGCTTTCACCACCTCCCAATAGGTGACTTTAGCCTTATGGGAAATTCCACAATGAAGTTATGTTACAGCAAAAATTCGGGCTGTATTCCGCAAGAGACCAAAGAGAACAGACAAAGTTTTTAATTTAGACCGGTCACCTCTCATCCCGACTTGCAAGTCAGGGAAGTGGGCGTAGACCTGTCTTTGTTCCCAGGTTATATATATTTTTGGTTTCCATAGTAACAGAAAGGCATGTTATAGCCCTGGCCACATGTTGTTTTCCTTGTGCCATGTAACCGGGTCAGGCTCCAGTCATGAGCCCAACCACAATGATATATACTTTTTGTACTCTGTTTTATATGTCCCCCTTTAGATAACCATACATTTACTTTATGGTTACAATGTTTTCCTAGGGCCAGGAGATGGAACTGCCCAGGCCGGGTCATGGAGGGTTAACTAGGCCTAGGCGCCCCCTTATCTTGGGGAAACATTCCTGGGCAGTGTTGATCTGGGGAATTAGCTCTTACACTGTCCCAGGAGGCTTCCCAAGGCACCATGTAGGCTTTTACCAAAACTATTTTATCCAAAATAATATGTTAAGATGCATTGCCCCCTACAATTATAGCCGTCATCTTACTCAATTTCATCTCCAGAAAGACAACAGGTGATGATTCTTGGGACCTGTAAATGTTTCCTTATGAGGAAAAGGTATATTTTTAGATGTGACTAAGTTAAAGATTTTGAGATGAGGAGATTATGCCTGTGGGCCCTAAATCCAATCACAGATATTTTTATGAGAAAGTGAAAGGGGGAGATTTTAAAAATCAATCAATCAGTCTATCTATCTATCTATCTATCATCTATCTGTCTAGGCATGGGGAATTGAACTCAAAACCTTATGCTTGCCAGCCGGGCGCTGGTGCTGCTGAGCTGTATCCCCAGCCCGGAGGAGGGAGATTTGACAAAGACAGAACAGTAGAAACAGACATGGGAGAAGGCACTGTGATTGTAGAGACAGAGTGATGGCCATGCACCTATGAAGAGGGACAGGAATAGATTTTTTCCTGTATCCTTCAGAGGGACTTGCGACCTGGCAGAGCTCTTGATTTTGGACGATTGAAACTGATACTGAAATTCTGGCCTCCAGAACTGCAAGAGAAGGAATTTTTCTTGTTTGAAACTACCAAGGTTGTGACATCATGTTGCAGCAGTCCTAGGAAACTAACGCAGAGACACTGTTCATGTTTTTAATAATAATAATAATATTCAACCCCATTCAACTCGCTTGAGTCTCTGTTGTGGAACAGATGAATTCATTAGTATCTAATGTCTCTGTGTTAAAAATTTCCCAGAACATGGAATGGTTAAAATGCTAGGGTTTCCAAACCCTTCTCTATATGGACATCTATTACCTGAAAATTAGTAGGGAATGTGGACAAGTTTGAAAAATAATTAAATGGAGCAGATATTAATTTATGTAAAAAGATTGTCATTGGTAAACTAAAATATGCCTAAGAAAACTTTGGAATATATTACATATTTATTAGAATGACAAAAATCTCAGAATTTTATAGTAAAGGAAGTTTTTTCTCTTTACAGGAAGACTGTTGGAGCTATCCTGTCTGGAAGGGTGTTTAGAACCTAACATCACCTATTCACTCTTATCCTTAAATTATTCTTTTGTGACTCTTCTGCAACCAGTGAGGAACACTCAGTCTGTTATGGGACTCTTGCTACATCACTCCAATTTCCAAAACTTCACCCAGATTTGCCAAGAAGTCATAAGGGAATTTAAAACATGCTCCCTGTGTTTGGTTTGTGAGTCCAAAGGAAATGTGGATGTTATGTCTCAAGGACAAATATCAAAAGGTAAGGACAGAATGAAAGTGAGAATGAAACGTGCAAAGTGCAAATTAACTTACTCGGCTGAAAAAGCAGAGTACACTCCACTTTTAAGTCCAGTGCCACTGGAACTCTGAGCGGTGCGGCTCTTAATAAGTGACTTGCACAGCTTTGCAGCTGTGCCCTTATTTTGGGGTTTACTTTGATTTATGGAAAACAAATCTGTATCTGTATCTGTGTCTGGTAAAAAACATCAAAATGCTGCTGTAATTCTGATACACTGAATGGGTAAGAGATCATTTAACCTTCTAGCTTCAAAGGTAGTGAATGTTTAAAAAACAATTCTAAGGAAACCTGCAATTTCTCACGGTAAAATCAAATGCTGATTCTCCACAGAGTGGTTGAATCCTTGATGCATTGGTATCTACTCTTGCCCAACATTTGTCTCCCAACTGCAGTTGTCTTTTTATTTGTCTGATGCTCCAGTGAGCCTCTTGAGGGAAAGGCCTTTGTTTTTGTTCACTACCAGATCTCCAGCTTTTAGCATAATGCCATGTAATACATGGTAGCCACTTAATAAATACTTGTGGGATGAATATGTGAACAAAGAAAAGAATAACTATGTGTTATCTGTGGTGTCTAACTGAAACGTGCATTTATATTATTTAATCAAATTTAATCAAATTGGGTGATTGAAAAGTTGAACAATTCATTCATAGTCATGAGTGTTGGATGACAGCGTTCTAGAACTCAGTCATTTTGCATAGCCGGAAGTTTATAACTATTGGGTAGGAGTTTTCCATTTCCCCTTTGGCTTAGCCCTTGGCACCATTCCTCTCCATTTCCAATAGCTTTACTACCTCAGATAAGTGAATCATGAGCTCCGTATTTGCTCTATGGCTGGCTTATTTCATCCAACGTAATGTCCTCTGGGTTCATCCACTTGTCACAAGGAATCACAAGTAATAGGATTTCCTTCTTTTCTAAGACTGAATGGCATTCGTGTGTGTCTGTGTCTGTGTGTGTGTATGCACACATAACACTTTTTCTCCATCTATTCATCTGTCAGTGGACATTTATTCTCCATATCTTAGCTATTGTAGATCTTGCACAATGAACATGAGAGGGCAGACATCTCTTTGAGATCCTGGTTTCAAGTCTTTGAATACGTACCAGGAAGCAGGGTGGCTGGAGCACATGGTAGTTCTACTTTTTATTTTTTTAAGGAATTTACATATTGTCTTGCTTGACAATTGGTCCATTTTACATGTGCATGGACTCTAATTTCTCCACATTCTCAACAGTACTTGTTGTCCATTTATTTTTGGAATAACCCTACTGACAATTGTGGTGTTGATATCCATTTTGCTGGTATTTAGTTACATTGAGCCACTTTCCACATATTCATTGGCCACCTGTCTACCTTCTTTGGAAAAATTTCTATCAAAGTCCTGTGCCTTTATATATATATATATTTAAATGTATCTGTCTATGTTGCTCAGGCTTGTCTTGAATGCCTATGTTCAAGTGATCCTCCTGACTCAGCCTCCTGCCTTAGCTGGAACAATAGGCCTTGGCCACTGTGCTTGGCTTTTGCCCATTTTTTAAAATTTTATTTTGGGCACTGGGACGCGAATTCAAGACTTCGTGCTTTTGCTCATTTTAATTTTTAAAAATCTTTTAATTTATACTCTGGTTTCTCTTCAGATCATATAAATCTTTCGCCTTTTACTAAAATCTTTTTATTTTTAAAAAAAATTTTAAAAATTTATTTGTAAAGTAAAAGAAGGAAAACTTATTAACAAACAGACATCCATTTACAACATAGCATAAGAACAATACAAACAATACTGAATTACAGACAAAGTGATAGGAAATTAACAATGGTTGTTGTATTACGTATTGATATCTTCAAAGTGGTTTCTCAGGAAAATAAATAGAGACATGCAAGACTGATCAAATAAGTAATCATTAACTATTCCTTTCAGTAAAGCGATAGAAGTTACTAGTACAACTATGTTAGCTATCCTGTATATACAAGCATACATAATTTCCCCTTCTTTCTTTTCTCTTTTCCCTCATCCCAGTTGCTCTTTATTTTTGAACATTTTTGTTTCATTAGGGCTGGGGATATAGCTCAGTGGAACAAGTGCCTTCCTGGCAAGCACAACGTTCTGAGTTTGATTCCTGGTACCAAAGGGAAAAAAAAGTCAATATCCAAAGGCCCAAGTTCTTAACATTTTGAAATTCGGAGTCGCCGCTGCCCCCGCACCCCAGCACAATGCCACTGCCCATTTTAAAATCAGGCGATTTTTTTTTTCTTGTCGAAGTTGCAGGAGTTCCTTATATATTATGAGTATTGCATTAATTTTCCGTGAGGTGTCAGCTGCAGGGTTTGCAGATGTTTTCTCTGATTCTGGGGCTGCCTTTTCACTCCGCTCATTGCTTCCTTGATGCCATCTTTCCACTTGGGCTTGTCTGGGGCGTCCTCACAGCAAGGTGACCTTAGGTTGTTGGACTTTACACAGCGACTCAAGGCTCTGGGTTAGCATCCCAAAGATCAAGGTAGAAAGTGCTTCCCCTGTTCTGGCTTAGACCTGCAGGTCTCTTCCTCTGCATTTGATTGGTTATAAGCAAGTCACATACTGTCCCAGACTTGAAGGGAGGGAATTAAACTCAACCTATTTATGGCGGAGTGGCAAAGTCTTAGGACAACATGTATGTTCTGAGTCGAACTGTGCCCTCCTCCCTAAATTTATATACTGAAGTCCCAAGCCCTGATACTCCAGAATGTGACATTATTTGGAAATACGACCACGGTAGACATTATTTTCTTAAAATGGATCATTAGGGTGCGCCCTAATTCTATCTGACTGATGTCCTATAAGGAGCAATTTTGAGACATGCACGTAAGGATGACAATATGTGAAGGTGGGGGAAAGATCAGAGTGAAGCCGCTGGGTGTCAAAGATGCCGGCAGATGTCTCCATAAGTGAGGAGAGGGGCAGAACTGCTTTCTCCTCACGGCCCTTGGAAGGAACCAACCCGGCTCATACCCTGATCTCACTGCCAGACTCTACTACTGGGAGACAGATTGCTGTTCAGTCACCCCGTTCTCAGCACTCCATTACAGCAGTATGGGGAACGCTGTGAATGGTTTGGAAAATACAACCTTTCCTACAAGTCATCAGAGAAACGTCAGGGGGCGGGGATATAGCTCAGTGGCAGGAGCGCCAACCCGGCAAGCACAAGCTCCTCATGTCTGTATTTTCTTAGAGATGTTCTGATGCCATTTGAACTCTACCTTTACCTAGTTTTCATGATCTTCAAAAAATGTAATCACTTTGGTAAGTATTTGCAATGTAAATAACTTCTTGTTTCTACTTTCTTGTATAGGAAGAAGAAGATTTAGTTTTGAATTGCATTTTGATATTATGTGTTACTGTTTTGCAAATAATGTTCCCTTAATCTCTTTCTAGTTCTTACCCTGAGAAGATCAATGGACATGAAAGCAAAAGAATTCTTTTCACCTTGTCAGCATTTTAATTTCTCTGTAACTCCTGTGGTTGACCAGTTGGAGGAATCCAACACTACCTGCAGACTCAGGGCACACACTAGAAAATCAGTGATTGTGGAAGAAGAGCCAACCAAGGAAAATTCTCTAAATCATACTTGTGGAGTCCTGGAGTACTCAAATAATTGTACTCATGTTTCCTTGCACCTAGAAATGGACATAAAAAGTAAGTTTTTAAGGAAATTAGAGGGAAAAAGAGAAACCAGACATAGACACATAAAATTAAATAAGGAAGCTTACTTCCACTGAAAGTCAAATAGTTGAAGAACTTCATTAATGAAATTATATACCTCGAAAGAATGTTAGTTTTTTACTATTTATTTTTTCTTTCAAAAATGTGATTTTTATAAGGGTGCTGCTATCACCTAAGGCAGAGGAGGCATCTATGCATCAGGATTTGAGGGGCACTAGAAGTGCCTCAGAATAACTTCCACACAGTCTATTAGCTGTGCTTAAAGTAACAGTATTGCACTTGGGTACCTAAGGGTGAGATTTCTTTTAGAATATAACTATCCACGTACACTGTGATGTGTTGTTAAATTCTGTTTTGAGTTCGTTTACCATGTCCTGTTGTAGAGCTGAGAACCAGGCTTGGATGAAATGGGCTTTTGGGTATAGTCTTGCAAGGATAGGGTGAGGTGGATTTTAGGCACCTAGGGTCACTGAATGAATGAAGGAAAAGTAGGGGCCAAAAGATGGCTCTTTTTTTTGGTACTGGGAATCAAACTCAGGACATTGCACTTGCCAGGCAGCCTCAGTGCCGCTAGGCTATATCCCTGGCCCAAGATGGCTCTTATGTATACCTTAATAGATCTTTCTGCTTAAGGGTGATTGACTTCCTACACATTCTGAATGGCCACAACTATTCCTTCCCTTTCTCTTTCCTTTTCCTTTTACCAGAATACTAGGGATTAAACCCATGGTCTTCTCATTTAGCTTTAGCCCAAGCCATTTAAAAAAAAATGTAAAAAAATATTTTGAGACAGGGTCCTGCTAAGTCACTAAATTGCTCAGACTGGGCTTGAATTTATGATCTTCCTGCCTCAGCCTCCTAGAGTGCTGGAATTGCAGGCACAAGCATTCCTTTCTACTTCACCCATTAAATCTGCTCTTGGAGAACATTTTAGGATACTTTTTTTTTTTTTTTAAAGAGAGTAGTAAATGAGAAACAAACAAAGAAATAGAACAGCAGCAGCATACCAGTATCACAAACATAAACAAATCAAAGCAAGAACATTCAAAGTGATACAGAGTCTCAAGCAAAATAATACGAATCAACAGTGGTTATTACATTGCATATCGCTATCCTCAGCTACACTGCTCAGCTTACATTTCATGAGTGCCTGCTGTATGCCAGGCAGTGTGTCAGGCACTGGATTAGAAAAAATAACATAGTCTGGAAGAGGGAGACACCGTACATAAACAAGCAAGTGCACTGGACAGCTACAGATGCTACAGCAGTACCTGGCTGGGCTTTTTGGTACCCCAAACAAATGGAAGATTTTCAGATTTCTTGGGAGGGCTTTTCTAAAGGGTTTTCTTTATTTTGAAGCTAATTATTTTTTAAATTATTATGTAGTGATAGCAAAAATAGATATGTAGATATATGTAGATATGTAAATTATTATGTAGTGATAGCAAAAATAGATATGTAGATATATATCTATATGTAGATATAGCAAAATCTGAAGCATAGGTTTGGATTATAAATATTTAAAGTGTGTCAATTTCAGTGTACACTTGGGTATCCATCTAATTGCTTTTAATGTTTTTTCAAAACATAAAAACAAAAACCTCTATAATTATGATTTGAACAGAATTTATTTTTGTGTCAATGGAAAAACCCATAAATTCTAGATTCAAGGTGCAGTAATAGTTATCAGGTCCTGGGGCTTCACAATTCAGAAACATATAGCAGCACTACATAGATATGTGCTCTTAGGTTCTGGAAAAAAGTCTGTTTATCCATGTGCAGAAGGTTAAAAATTTATTCATGCTTCACTCTGTGCAAAGACACAGTTAATCTCTTTTACACCTTCTCCATCAAGAGGTGAAACTAAATTTAGCCCGCTCTGGTACAGTTACTTGGAAACAATTCTTTAAAAGTGTCTTTTTAGATTTTCTTGGGTTTCTGTCTCTTTCTCCTGGACTCTCTCCAAAATCCCTGGCTGCAGGGACAGAAGGCAGGTGGCAGCCAGGGACACTGGGATACTGGGAGCCATATTCTTCTGAGTTTATGCAGGCACTGTGGTGGAGGCATTCATCGGTCTGGTCCTAATCATGCACGTTCTGCTTCTGCGGTATACACTTTGTGAATGCATGGTTCTCTTTTCATGATTTGCTGCCTAATGAGACATCTGTCCTTGGGCCCACCTTAGCTCTTGATGGCACTGCAAATCTCCTATGCTATTTAACTGCATGCTTTTTCTGCTGAGTGAGGAACACAAGTTTGATATCTAAATAGCATGGAATGATATTGTGGAGGTTGAGGGTCTTGTACCAGCCAACCTGGCCTCTCCATTCAGCCTCTTCTTTAAGTGTGGGATGGCTATTTAGTGTACATCTGGGTTCCTGCAAAGGAAATGTCTAGACCATAAACCCCACAAAGGCAGTCTCCAAAGGTATAAACAAGTTACACACTCTGCTAAGTTAAGTAAGTACTAACCACATTTTGTGTGCAAGGAATAGGGTACATGAGGTGGCTTAGAAAGTCAGCAGACAGTTGCATCTTGACTTCAGGATGTCACCCTTATTGAAGTCACCAATTCCTGGGTTTGCTGGGCAGTGTATCTTTATAGGACCAAGGCAGACCATACTGAGTCATTGCTTATGGTCATCATCCTGCCAATGTTGCCCATCATCTCAATGAGCAGGTTTATGTTTGTGTCTGCTAAGTTTTGGCCAGGGCAGCTGTAGGTACAATCAGTGCATGCACTGGATCTGATCATTGGTGCGTAAGCCACTGAACTATTGCCTGGTGGAAAGAGGATCTGGCTATTCATCTGTCCTGGCCACTCTTATGCCTTAGTCTAGGCCCTTGTGTGTTCCTGGTACCTCTCCCCTGCCCCCACCCCCGCATTCTCCTTGTACTCACTGAATCTTTGTTGATTTGAAGACATTTTTGGGCTGATTGATCCAGGTCCAAAACTGTTATGACAAATGGCTCTGGTTCTGGGGCTGATATGTTGTGTTCTCAACCTAGTGACTGCAATGATAGTGAAACTAATATCAGCACGACCTGTACATGGAATTAACTTTGGAATTCTGGAGTTAAATGGATCCCCGGAAGCCACCTCGTCAAATTTCCTCTTTTAATACACTGGGAAGGAATTCAGGAGAGCAAGCAAGCCTGTAATGGTTAAGGCTACATATTCACATTTTCCATTGAGGGTGTACATACCACCACACTGCTTCTGATCTGTTGTAGCATTTTATTGTGTGTTTTTTTAATAGTATTTTTTTCTTCACAGATATCACCTGTTCCACGAAGATCACTTGGTACATTTTAGTTTTATTAGTCTTTATTTTTTGGATCATTCTCATTATCCACAAAATACTTGAAGGCCACAGGAGAATGCAAAAGTGGCAGAGTAAGTATTGAGGAACAAATTTGTCACTTAATGTTAAAGAACTCCTACTTTTATCTCTAGACTTAATTTTCTTTTTTAGTCCAACTTACTATTTAGTGTGTCCTGACTGTATAAAAGTAGTGAATCTAGATAATCCCAGGAATAAAAGCATAAAGAAGACATGGCACCAATATTCCTGCATCTTTCTCCTTCCTGGGCAGGCAATGGGAGTGGAAGCAAGACTGGGTGAGGTGTGGGGATGTAGCTCAGCAGTAGAGCTATTGTCTAGAATGTGGAAGGCTCTGCATTCAGCTGCAGGCCCTGGAAAGAAATTGCTAGAAGACTGAGTGAATAGGACAAAGTTGCCAGGATGCTGAGTGGGGCTTCGAGGCAAAGTGAGGCAGAAAAAGATGAGGTGGTGTCAAAGAATTTCTGAGAGATCTGAAGCAGAGCGCCTCTAGATGAAGAGTAGGAGCTGGAATCAATCTTTAATAAGCATGGAGACATCAGCAGATTTTTCACAGGGCAGAGCTGATAGGTATAATTGGAAACCAGGACAGTATGGATGATGTTAAAAATATTTAACAGCTAGTATGACAGAAGCACCCACCTAGCAGAATAGACTAAACCACTGGCACTACTGTGTGAAGCCGTGCATGACTATCAGGCCTGTTGGATGGTTCATAAATGAGAAGCTGGTCTCTTAAAGACAGTGTGAAATGTATCACTGTGACAATAGGTTTTAAAGACAGATGGACTTACATTAGAGTCTTAGTGTTACCCTTCCTAGCTATGTAACTTTGAGCGAGTTACTTGCCATGTCTAAGTGTGCCTTTACTCCCCTGATGAACAAGGCTACTCACACAGGGCTGAGGAGAGGGTTGAAGTAAGGAGATTACTTAAGAGGTTTAACATTTAAGTGTCTGGTGCAGTACTGGGGTGGTTATTTCCCAAAGCTCTTATGTTCTTCACCAGGTAAGGGGAACCAGGTAAGGCCATGTCAGTCATTTCAATAGAAGAACAAGTGCTTGCCTCTGGATTTAAGCAAGGGTGCCATTAATTCTTTTGGCTAAGTTATAGGTTTTTAAAAATGTAATTCTGAGGATTGAACCCAGGGCCTCATATATGCTAGGCAAGTGCTCTACCACTGAGCTATTTTTATTTATTTTGAGACAGAGTCTCGCTAAGTTGCCAAGACTGGCTTCGAACTTGTGACTGATCATGTTACCTCAGCCTCCTGACTAGCTGGATTATGGGTGTTATTCAGCATGACCAGCTGGTTGAGAAGCTGGCCTGAGAACAGAAATAGATAATCATATTATGTGTTACCTTTGATACCTTCATCTTTATTTTTTGGATAAAGATACCTTAATAATAAGGCCCTTAATCACATGGGTTAATAAACTCAATGACACTGTATATTTGTACAATAACCATTTTCAGAGCTTTTTCCCTAGATTCTGAAAGAATGTAAAGAGAATGTACGCTATTATTTTCATGTTTTAGATTGAAAAAAACCTCCTGAAACTCAAAGAAGTTAAATATTCTGTCCAAGTTAGTGAAATGTCAAACTAAGACTTGGTATCTTTCTAGTTTTGAAGTTTGTATTAAATACAATTTTTTGCAAATAGTACGTAGTTATGAGTCTCGACTTATTTTTCATATGACCATGTTTAGAAAAGACATATAAGTGAGGCAGAAAAAATAGTGACCAATAGTAAGAAGTTGCGTTAGGTTCTTACTAACTTCTACCCATAGGACAGACTTAGTTGCTCTCCAAAACTTTTCTTGCAAGTCCAAACTATAAAGTAATGACAAATGCTATACCATTTATGATATTAAAGATAATTAATCATTAATTGTAAGTTACATATTTTATACCTCAAATAAATATAATTTTGTATGTAAGGGTCGATGCTTTTCATTATAGAATATGACATAATGGCATTTACAGTAGCAGAGAAGCTACTGGTTTCAAAAGAATTTGTATTTTTTTATAGACTAGGGAAAAGCTCTCGGTATCTTGTTACCCAGGCCTTGTTATGAATAGCCCATTCTTCTTGGTAATCCTTTGGACCAACATAGGAAATACATGTTAAAAGTGTGCTTGTTTATCAGCTAAGTGTTTAATTTCTTTTCTTGGAATAGATCATAAATACACAACTACATCTGCTCTCTTAAGAGGAAGCGATTCTGAGAAGCTGAGAGCTTTGAATGTGCGGGTCATTCCAGGTGAGTCCTGTGGCCTGCAAACAGAAACGGTTCAGGAAATTCCAAAGCTGCACCAGTTCACTACAAAGTAAATTCAGGATCTGAGAGCTGAGCTCGTCTGAATGGGCCTTGTATCTGGAATAAAGGAGCCGTGAGCAAATGAAATCTGGCCTAATATGTCTTATTATCAGGGGGCAGTTGCGATCCAAACTAACCTCCTTAAGTAATGAAAAGTTTGCTTAATTGGCACGAAGAAACTCCTGTGAGTAGGCAGAGGAGAGAGTGCAATAAGAAATGCGCCTCAGATTTATTTTTAAATGAGACAAGATACCATTATTGCTCAGAATTGCAAGAAGTAATTGCAGAGTGGGCATGGCTTTTGCTGGCATCTTCACTTCACAGAGGGTGTCATTGTGCAAAAAGAACTTCTAATAGCCCCAATTAAAAAGCCCCCTGTCCTCTCCGGAGAAACAGCAACGGAATAAGGGGATCCTAATTAGAGCAGCTAAGGGGGCTGTTAGCACAGATGCTGTGGTTCCATTTCCTTCTAATTGTGCAGCCTCCCTTTGAGTCCATACTGTCAAGTCACATTAAAAAGAAGGACAGGGAAAGTGTGACATGGAAAGAGTCCTCTCCTTCACCAAACAGAAATAATGTCCTTGACTGTCAGAAAGCCACAGAATTCAGAGTAACATTGCTGACGCTCTTTGTCCACTGCCTGTGAAGAGGCCCCTTTGTACTTTGCAAGAAGTTAAAAAAAGGAAGCTTCGAGTCTGGTGTGTAAACACTTTTCAGAAATGAGAGGAAGGCAGACAACTCTCTGTCCCCCACTGCAGCTGCCTCTGAAGCCATCTAGAGATGTGCCCAGCATTTCCCTGGGGACCAGGTCCCTGAGGGTTTTGTTAGCTGTTGAAACAAGCTGGAACTCAGACCCTTAGCCTAGAGAAAAATTAGACTGTGTGCAGCTAAAGAGCTCAATTAAAAAAAACAGCAACAGACTTTCCACTCAGTTTTAGCAAATTATCAAGCTATGACTAATAATAAACACTTGCAATATAATCATTTGACTCCAGTTACATGTGGGGTAACTTGATGGAAATTCTGTGTGGTCAATGAAAATTGTGTTCAGTTAATAAAATAAAGGCCACAAAGATAATTTAAATGGAAACATTCATTTTTAAAAGCAGGAAATGGTGTTCCCCCTGTTTTTCTCTCTTACCTAAAACGCATGCCCACACACCAGGAGTGGTTTAACCCAGTTCTGCTGGGTTTTTTGGTTGCCTTAGGAATCCTGGTTATTTCTATTTTCAGGTCATAGTTTTGAGCACTGCAGTCTTATTTGAGAAAGTCAATAGTTCCCCTGTCAACCCATATAATCAGGGGAATCACAAATTTTAAGTCCTACCTAACCACAAGACTAACCGTACAGGGTGTATTTATGAGCCTGAGATTTCCATTCACCCAAGAAACTTGTCTCAGTCATCCTTTCCCTTTAATAGCTCTCACTAAAAATCCTCTGGCTTTATTACCAGGTATATAACATTAACGTTCAGTGCAGGCCAAGGGGTGATGGCCTTTTTTAAAACCAAGGATCCTTTTGAGGCTTAGCATCTTAACAAGGGAAAGAAACAGATTCTTTTCTTATTTATATTCCTTTAACCTAAATCCAAGTTCCCCACCTCCCCATCCTGAGTTGCTCCTTCTGAGAGAGAAATGGAAAGGAAATAATGTCTCCCTTGAGTGCTGTTTCTAAGGCTGCTCTTTGTAATGATGGATTATAGGCAGCAGTAAGAATGTAAGGGGAAAATGTGCCAGTGTGCTTGTCTGGAAATGCAGTAACATGAGAAAAAAATGTCTTTCATAGGAGCAGAGATTGTGTGTTACATTCACAGAGCCGGTTGTCAATTCTAGTTGACACTTGTTCCAGAATGTCCCCAGTTGTTCATGCATTACAAAGTCAGTGTTGTTACACACATATACACAGAGGTATAGATAGGCTCACTTTCTCCGAAAGAAGTTTATTTATCCCACAAGAGAGAAAGGAGAGATCACCGGGATGCTGACTTGGACAGTGCCTGGTACATGCTAGGGGCCCAGAGAACATTGGTGGAATGAATGAATCTCACCTCTGTAGGAGATGTCAGACAGAATCAAATCCCAACCTTTTATATATCTCTAATACTTTCTCCTTGCCTACGAACATGATGACTTGGTTGCCTGTCTTGGCATTAATCTACATAACATCTTATTCATTCAATTTACTCTCATTCATTTTTGTGCCTTTGTCTTTAGCATAATAGCTGGCATGCAGTTCATGCATGATTAAAGCTCATGAAACCTCACAAACTCTAACAGGAAATGAGTATAGAGGGGAGGAAGAGCAGCTGAGAAAGAAATGAATCTTAAGGACTGCAAAAGGGGACAACAAATGAAAAGATGAAGAGTAATTAGAGGGAGTGTAATTCTACTTTGTTGAAGAACCTATAGCACATTTTGTAGAATTGCTAAGTATATCAAAGAATAACGAAGAACACTGATCATCTTAGAGAAGAGATCTGGAGAACTATATAAAAGTTACCTTGAAATGTGTCTCCAGAAACAGCGCTTGGTAGGTTGATCACCTTGAGAAACCAACCTGAGGGACTGGAGGAGTGGACTAGCATCTAATGCTAAAGCATTGGGTGCACACACTAGAAACCCTTTTTAAAAAAATTAATTTAAAAAAAAAAGAAGGAAAACATATTAACAAACAGACATCTATTTACAAAATAGCATGAGAACTATACAAGCAATACAGAGTTACAGACAAAGTGGTAGGAAATTAACAATGGTTGTTGTGTTACATATTGATATCTTCAAAGTGATTTCTCAGGGAAACAAATATAGACATGCAAGATTGATCAAATAATTACTCAGTAACGGTTCCTTTCAGTAAAATGATAAAAGTCAGTAGTACAACTGTGTTAGCTATCCTGTATATACATACATACATAGTTTCCTCTTCTTTTTTTTCTCTTTTCCCTCACCCCAGTTGCTCTTTACTTTTGAGCATTTTCCTTTTGTTTCACAAAGTTTGTCATACTTCCTAATTTTTATTCACTCTTTCAGGTCTTACACTAGTGAGACAATATGTTGCTTACACATGGAGGTCTGGTTTATTTCACTTATGAGTATGTTCTTTAGTTGTGATCATTTACTTGTAAAGCCTCGAGTTTATCTTTATAGCTGAGTAAAATTCTATTATATAAAAGTGCCACAATTTTTTTATCCAATCCTTGGTGGATGGACATATGGATTGCTTCCACAGTTTAGCAATTACAAATTGTGCTACTATGAACATGGGTGCACATATATCGCTGTGATATGGTATTTTTAGATCTTCTGGGAAAATACCCAGAAGGGGAATAGC